CCATTATAGGAACATTCCTTTTTAAGATATTGAGCATTTTTTCTCCTCTCTCCCCCCGAACCGTTATATACCTATTGTAGGTGTTACACTGAGATTCAAAGATTAAAAAGTGCAGAATATCACACCATATTCATCTGGTGTGAACAAAACAAGCTTCAGGGGCTGCAAAGAGCTCTGGGATTGGAGGTTCCCAAATTTTCATATAAATCTTTATTTCTCTTCTCAAAACTTGCTGCAATTTTTTAAATTCCATGCTAAAACACAATGCCTATAACTTGGCAAAATACTAAACATGTGGTCAGACTGTGACGCAATAAAGAGTCACTACTACTTCTCATGGTTTGGCAGCTAGGTTTCTATTTATGCAAACTATAATTGTGTCTGCTCTTTTTTCTTATCCTTGTCACACCAGATTCTGTTTGTGGTCTACAATTCCAAGATCCTTTTCATAAGTATTCTTATCAAGCTATCTATCCTCTCTGCTACATACCTGAATTTGATTTCTTTTCCCCTTAAGAACTTTTCTGTAACAGCATCCACACTGTAGAACAGCTTCCCTGTAAAGATTAAGCTAATTCCCTCTTTCTTGTTTTTTTTGGGGGGGGGGAACTTTGAAGACCAAGATATTTCAGACAGTCTTCTTCTGATTTGATGTTGCTAACTTTATCTTTAATGAAGATAAAGTTACATAGACAATATAACTTTTATAGTTATATTGTCTATATAATCAATGAAGCACATCCTGACTTCATTCTTTGGTTTTCTCAGTCATCCAGTGTGCATCAACTATAGTGTCTCATGTTCCTTTGCCTTTTCTAAAGCCAGCTTGAACATCTAGCATCTCTTTTTCTAGATAGGGCTCTAATCTGCATTGGATGATCTTAAGCATTATTTTGCTACCATGTGAAATTAAGAATATTGTACAACAGTTTCACACTCTGTTAAGTCTTCTTTTTTTTTATATTGAAATGTAGATTGACCTCTTCCAATTGGTTGATCATTGTGTCATTCTCCAGATTTGCTGGCATAGCTTGGTTAGAACATTTACTGAATCTTCTTCTGTTGCTTGCCATAAATCTGTAGGTATCCCATCAGTTCTTGTAGCCTTCTGATTTGGCAACGACCGGAGCGCTGATCTAACTTCATATTCTAGTACTAGAGGTTCTTGTAAGTAAGGAGTATCTTCTAAGGTAGTGGTTCAACCACTGTGCTGCAGCACATTTGTGTGCCACAAAAGGTCTGCAGATATGCTGCATCAGTGAGCCACAAGTAAATGATGGAAAGTTCTGCAGTCAGAACCCTGCCTCCATGATCACCAGGGGCAGACTGCCTCCATTTCTTCTCCTGAGTCCCAGCAACCTGTGACATCATGGGACTTTCAGTTTCACACCCTGAAGTCCCCCCTATAAGATATATGACTGCACAAATTAGCATCAGCCATTAGATTAAAAAAGTTGAAAACCACTGTTCTAAGATATCTTGGATACTGACAGCTCTGCTGTTCAGTATTTCAGTATACTCCTTCTATCTTCGTTTGAATCAGTTACTATCTGTCCATTGGGTCCTTTAGCATACCAATTCAAGGTTGGAACCTCCTTCTGAGCTCAGAAATCTTTTGAAAAAATTCTTGTTTTTTCATGTCTTTTTCCATATTCAGTGTCTTTACAGATGTTGTTTCTTGTCTTTTCTAACAGCTCTCTGAAAGTCTTTGTTAAGGAACTTTGTTAAGTTCCTTTCTGAGATTTGATACCCATTTGATACCTCTCTCCAATCTGATGAGGAACCACTGATGAATACTCCTTGGATATAAAGTTTGAGCCAGATTGTTGAATAATCCACTTCACTATCATGTCATTCAACCCATCCTTAACTAGTCTGCTAATCAGAATGCCATCTGATACTTTCCCTAATGCCTGCTATAATCAAGATAAATTATCTCTACAGCATTCCCTAAATCTATTAAGGAAGTTATCAAATCATAAAATGATATTATACTTTGGCAAAATCTTTTTTCCCTAAATTTATGTGTTTACAGATCAGTATCAGGTATTGATGTCAGACTGACAATTCTAGCTTCCCAGATCCTCCCATTCCCATTTTCGAAGACAGAGACACTTGCCTCATCCAAACATCTAGCACTTCTAGAATTGTTCAAAGATAATGCATATATACAGTAAGTTCCTTCAGTACCTTAGGATGTAATGTAGACTTAAACTAGAAATTAGTTCAAATAAGTATTCTCTGACCATGTCTTTATCCCGAGCTTCAATCTACAGGTAGTCCTTGATTAACAGTGGTAACCAGGACTGGAATTTCCATTGTTAAGCGATGCAGTCATAAAGTGCAACATCACGTGACCGCATTGCAGTCCCTGTTGCCATTGTTAACTGAATTGTTAGGCAAGGACCCACCCTGATCCAAGCCATTCCCAGCCCACTAAGACTGCCTCCTCTTGAACTCCCCCCACCTGCCTATCTCCTCATTTCTGCCCTTTTGGTCTCCCCAAACAGCAGCACTCCTCAGCAGCAGTGGAGGTGCTGGTGGCACTGAGGCTGAAGTAGAGGCCCAGGACCTTTAGCAGTCTCAGCCAGCCGCTGCCACCCCCAGGCGTCTACTTCAGCCCCAGCACTGCCAGCGCCATTGAGGAGTGCCACCTCAAGTCCTGCACCATGGCCAGTCACCCCAACACAAAGCCCCAGCTGCCCCTGCTGACATGCACTCTGCCAGCCCTGCTGCCCCCAGCTGACTTTCACTGTCTACTTCCTCCTGCTGCTGACAAGGCATGCCCAGCCTGGCCCTATGTGAGGCAGCTGTACACGTCCTTCTCCAAGTCACATGTGGCCTTCTCGTGAGGCTTTGGAAGGCCCCAAAAGCCTTGTGAAAAAGCTGTGCATGATTTGGAGACGTGCAGGTGCGGCCTTCTTGTGAGGTTTCAGAAGGCCTCAGAAGCTTCGCGAAAAGGCTGTGCGTGACTTGGAGAAGTGCGGGTGCAGCCTTCTTGTGAGGTTCCAGAAGACCCTGTGGTTGTAAGTGCGGGCAGGATGCCAAGCACCTGAATTTTGACATGATCATGGGGGCATTCCAATGGCTGTAACCTCAGGGACCGGGCATAAGTACCATTCGTTCAGCACTGCCATAACTCTGAATGGTCACTGAACGAATGGTTGTTAACTGAGGACTATCTGTATTCATTTGTCTTGTTCACAATTACTTGGTGGAACACACAACCTTAGAGAAGATTAAGCTCGAGTAGAAGTTTAGATTCTACTTTGTTGTTGTTTTCTGGCATTTTGTTCTGTTTACTGAATAGCTGGTATACTAATTATTTCTGCTTTTATTTTGAATATATATGAAGGAGCTTTCTTATTTTTATCATCTAGTGCCAACTAATTCATTTTTAGCTTCAGCCTTTAGGGAAGGCCAAATAAACCTCTCTATATTTTCAGGCTTCATGGCATATCTGTAGAGGGCATTTGGAATGGTTCTGAAGGGCAGGAAGGAGAACCACTACCAAGGCAACAGTCAGATAAGTGGGATTTGAGCCCGGGCCAAGAAAATAACTTGAGAAAACATCTCAGACAAGTCCCCTCTTGACTTTTTGAAAATATATTAGGAGTCTACAGTCACAAAAGTGGCCCTCACTAAAATAACCTGCAGAGGGAAAGCACAAAATGTTCTGGGTGAAAGCTAAGCCTCATAGGACCACTGACATAGCCAGGTGGATACAAGTGAGAGCTTAATAAGACCGTCAGCACCTCCTGAAAGACCTTAAGGGGAGTGGAATGTGAGGTTCCCAAACATCCTATTGAGTAGTCTTCTGTGTGCGCGCTAAGGTTATTCTCAACTACAATCATAAAAAAACATTATTACTGTTTTTACAAATACATGGGATCACCAATAGAGTCTATCTTTCGTCACAATGCAAGAAACTGGACTAGCAAACCACAGGAAGCTCCTTTGTGTAGCTGTCTACACAAGCTAGCTGGTCTGCAGTGCCCAATGTACTCTACACATTTTTTCCTTGGGAAATCCTCTTCCATGAATTGTTAACGCAGGTATCTCTAGTTGTGCCTGCCCTTCATGATCTAGGGAAATGGAAAGGGGGCAGAACACCAGCAGCATGGGACTGATCAGCACTGAATTGATTTGGAGGATATATTATTAATACTAATTTGATTTATATCCACATTTCTGCCTAGAGGCCCGGTTATAAAAAACTAAATTGTTAATCTGATAAAAAGTTAAAATCACTAATCCAAACTGAAAAGCCCTGGCTAAACAGGACTGATTTGTTTCCTTCCCTAGAGGTAGAAAGAGCAGGGCTAAACACAACTTGCAAGGAAGAGCATTCTATCACTTGGCAGCAATATAGAAGAAGGCCCTTCTGTAGGTGTCCAGCAAATGGCCCTCAGAATGTGAGAGCCTCTTAAAGAGGTTTCTTCTGCTAACCTTAACGTCTGGTTAGGTTCATATCAATATAAGTGGACACTCTGATAGTCAAGTCCTAAGTTGTTTAGGGCTTTAAAATCTTAAAATCAACACTTCAAATTGTGCCTGGAAAACAAATGGCAAGCAGCGCAGGTATTTCAACATGATCTCAGTATAGTCCGTTGTTTATCCCACATAGTCCTTGAGATTCTCGCATGCTTAATGAGAGTAACCTAACCCCTTTTCTCCTTTCAATATTTCTGGTTAATAAGACTGTGAGAATCTAGCCCTCTTGGTGGAGAGCAGCTACTAGGAGCTTTAATTAATTAATTTCAAACAATCCTAGAAAATTGATACAGGTAGTCCTTGTTTAGCTACCACAATTGGGACTGGTAACTCTGTCATTAAGCAAAGTGGTTGCTAAGTGAAACAGTGACCATGCTTATGAACTTCCTTCAGCGTTCCTTTGCTTTACAGACCTGCGAAGGTCATAAATGCAAAGATGAATCGTAAAGTTACTTTTTCATCACCGTCATAACTATGAACAGTTGCTAAATGAGGAAGTCGCTAAACGAGGACTACTTGTATGAGTATGTTAGTACCCCATGCATCAGTAAGTTTGTTAGGGTGAGGATCTTCTTGCTGACTACCTCTTCAAGGCAGTGGAGAGATTGTTATTTGCTTCCCTGAGATGGGTGAATGTGTAAATGTCCCAGCCCCATATTTTGCAAACCACTATCTACTTTCCCAGGCGCTGGGGACTCCATTACAGATTCTCTCTGGATGTTCTGTTTGCACAAGGCCACTTGTCCTTGTATTTCAATGAAGACCCAACTGGAATGAGATAAGGTACATCATGGGTTTCCTACTAGCTGCCCAGGTATGAAGAGGGTAAAGAAAGCAGGTATGGGTAGCTTACCACACACAATTGCATCCCAAGCAAGTGCTCAGGTCCTGCTATGTTGCTCCATTCAGGCTGGGGTGCTTATAGCCTTGTATCTAATGCTGAAGCCCAAATCAATAACAATTTGAGGTGCTTTAATCAGCTTTCAATTTGTCATCATTATGGAGCCTGAAACTTCTTCCTACTAAGAGGGATCCCTACCTGCTTGGGCAGTTTTCATGTTGAGATTTCTCCTCCTCCTGCTTTTTGCACAAACTCAGCAGTTTGCTTCTTATTCTGAGGTAGGAATGTATATGAACTGAGTATCAAATTGGGATAAATTGGAGGAGGATGCATTATGGACTAGATCTTAGGATTTGGATGAGGATAGAACAGACTACTATGAAAATAATACAGCTTTTTGAATACACTGGATTTGTATTGACCACACTGCATGTTGCCCGGCTAAAATATCTCTAAGGTTGAAACTGTACATTGATTGATTGATGACGAATATTTAGATCTAATTCCCTTTCCTTAAATATAATACAACCTCTAAAAGTGTTACATCTAATTGAAAATTCCACAGTATGTAAACTATCAATATTAACATATCTAAAGCTTGTAAACAATCCACTGGCGCTACCTAGCCTTACAAACAGTATTGACCCATAGTATCTGGTGAGGCTCATCTAAAAAATGAAGCATCAATGCCTGGAATTCATTAAGAGTGTTACATGTTTAATTTTTCCTGCCCTCTAGCTCCACTGTCTCATAAAAAAATTCTTTGATGTTCCCCAGTAAGAATTAAAGAAATATTGTAATTGAAATATCATTAATAATGAATATGTTTCTTCTCTATGGCAATACATCCAATGAAATATTAATCAAGTTTCACAGACTGACAGTCTGCAAAAGAGCACTTGCCTGTAATTTGTACCACGAGTCCTGATCTTGCTGTAACTCAGGCTTGCCAAGAACACAATTATCTGGATGGTCTTGCCCAATCCCATCTCATCTCCCAGAATTCCTCCTACCTGCTGGCAGTGCAATTCCCAGAGCCACCTAACACCTGTCTGCTGGTACCTACAAAGAAGAAAGCAAAATAAAAGAGCAAACAGAGATTATAACATGGATTAGTTGTATATAATGTTCTAATTCTTGCAAATCATAACATCTGAATGTATATTACAGGAGGGCCAGAGTTACATGTTAAAAGAGTTTTGAATTATACTAAGACATTTTTTAAAGGGTATTTCATATTTAATATGAATACAACAGTTCCCTGTTGTACAGATCTTTCATCAGATCTGTAAGGACAATGTTTTTAGCAGCCTAATAAGTTGGGAGAGATGCTGAAACACAATAGTGGCTTCCTAGTAACCAAATGGTCTGTTCAAAGGAACAAAGAGTAAAATGGTTTCTTCAAATAAAGATGATGTTTTATTAATTGCACTTCGATGGCAAGCTAATGGCTGGGTTCCAGACAACATACTTTTGATGGATTAAAGGGAAAGGGGTTATGTACACATGAGGGGGATGGCAAGGATTACATAGATTGGGCTGAAGTTTTCTGTTTTTCCTCAGGTGTTTTGTGGAGCATTAATATTTCCTTCTTTTTTTAGGTGCAGTAAATCTAAGTTACAGTGTAAGACACCTTCACCCATTTCTTGCCTCAAAATGACAGGCAACCACGAAACAGTTTCTGGAAACTGTAGCTAAAGGGAGCTGCAAAATAGATATGACATCTAAATGACTATCTGAGGCCCAGGTTGTCCAACCATATGGTAAAACTTCACCATATAATCATGGTTTATGAATAAAATCGAATCCACACATTTTGCTAAGCCATTATGTAATTTATTTGGCTTTGGCTTAGCTTGTGGTATAAATCCAGCCACTATAGTATATAAACCATGGTTTAGGGCTTAGCATGCTATGTAATCCCAGGCAAGGGTAGTTTATTCAGCAACCATGGTTAGGAAATCAAAGTAGGAACGTGCAGCTGGAACTAGACATTACAGTAAGGTGAAATTAAACAATCAATATTATGGTTTACTAACACCATATATGAAACCAGTCAATATCATGTTACGTAACAGAGCAGGAACAAAATTCCCAAACTTAATTTATGTATCCGTTATTATCCTGGACACAATCCACCCAGGAACTTCTCCTGGGGAGTGGGGGTGAGAAGAGTATTGAAATAAATGTTTACACAAGTTCCAGCCAATTAAGCCAAATTAAAATAGGCAAAATCAGGTGGCTCATACTTGGTAAATAAATTAGGAGGGAAAAAACACCAAATAGAAGTAATTCTACGTCTTAAAATAAACAAACCATTCCAAATCCATGACTGAAATTGTCAATTAGTCAACTGAAGCTTGAAAATAGAGATCTATTTCATATTTACTTAAAATATGTTTCCTTTCCACCTCACCATGGCTCTTCTGTTAAAAGGGAGTGTGGTGCTAACAATCTCTGGCCTCAGGCTTAACACTGAAAACATATTACACCCCCAAGGGAAAAGGGGATCTGGAGAAAAGAGGAAAAATGTGAGTTAGGCACAGTGTGTGAAGCAACATTTCTTACAAGGACCACCTGGCATGGAAACAGTTCAGAGCCAGATGAAACAGCTGCCACAAGGTGACAGTTGGAGGAAGGCCAAAAACCATATAGATTCTCAGCAGAAGCAAAATGAGCAGCTAGGATAAAGAATAGGTTTCAACAAATTCTGCCCTGCCTATCAGGAACAATTTGTGGGAACAAGAACAAGAACTTTAAAAGAGTAATTTGATGAATCTATGAAGGTCAATTGTCACTGCTTACTGGGATGGTCAAGGGAGGTCAGAAAGACACTGTTCTCTGAAAGCACTACAGTAGGCAGAGGGATTTGTATCAATTCACTCTAGCAAGTGACTCCAAAAGCTATGGCTAACATCTAACACTATATAGAGGCCTCTGTCCTATATTGGCATACCAACCTATACATAGCATTCTAAGCAGAGTGTATGCATGATCTGTTTCCTTAATCTTTTTTTCTCATCCACTGATACTCTTTTCCACAACAGCTTATCAAATATTTCTGTGACTCATGCAGAGCTCAACAATGATTTCTGCCACTTGTTTTAAGCCACCTCTCTTTCTTTCCTTCACACTGCAAAACAGAATTTGCACGGTCCACTCCACAGCATAATGAAAACTTCTAAGCCTTTCTCTCTAACAGTCAAGGCTGCAGTAAATAAACAGAACAATACTTCCATATTTTATAAAACAAAACATTTTTTTGGCACAAAAAATAAACATGCAAATTAAACACAGTGATTATAAATCTTAATGGGATGCATGACCTTACATATGACAGCAACTTTCACCAATATCTGAAGTATGATTTTGTTAGAGCCAGAACCCAGCGTATTACCTATTTCAATACTGGTCTTCACTGAAGTGACTTCTGAAACTCCACTTTCCACAAAGGTACGGTAAAAGAAAAGTTTAAGTGTCTTTGAATATCTTTGAAGATACTCAAAGATCACCTTCCACATGTTTGAAAAACACTGGTGTCCCAAAGACCATTTTCTAAGAACTATTACTCCAATAATTTAATTCCAACAGTTGCATCTAGGCTGTTTAATAACAGAACAGACTTTATTTATGAAAGAACAGAGAACAGATATTAGTTAAGTTATAGTTTATCTTTCCGTGTTTTTTTTTCATATCTAGACACTAATTTTTAAAATAGTCATTCCTTGACAGCCTACAAAACTAAGCCTCACACCTTAAAATATCCAACAAATTGTTAACAATTCCTAACATTTTAAAGTACTTTCCCCATTTCTGAATTCCCCATTTTCTGATATCTTCTTAAATATACCTCAGTCTACAGGCCATAACAATCTATCATAAACATGACCAAACTAACTATGCTGATTGTTCTTGATATAGGTGACTGATAGTTAAAAAAATAAATAAATAGTGAGCTTCTTTCTACCTCACTTTCTCCATTTCCAATCCTTCAACACTTACCCAAAATTATTCTGGCACTGACAAAAGGAGGAAACAAGAGTTTTTTAAAACAAAACTTTTAAGAATGTAAAATTTGTATACTTATAACCACCTAGAGGTCACATTTTAATATACCTACTTGTAAAGTTTCTTGAAGAGATTACCCGGAACTTTAAAACCCTCAAGAAATTCCACATCGCTTTCATCAGACTCTTCTCCTGCCCTCTGTCGCCCTTTTTGGTCTTTCAGTTGCTGTCTGTGCCACTTCCTGAAATTACAATAAAAATCACCACATCATTACTAAAGTTAGAAAACTTGATACTTTAGGGAGCTTGTAGAGAAGAAAAAGTAACCCTGAGAAGCATATCTAATGTAATTGTCACAGTAATAAATCCTCAAAGCACAACAGGGCTGTCTGGAAGTGGACAGAAATTTAAACAAAACAAATCAACATTTACAATATCTAGACCCAAAACATGCAACCTAGAGGTTAATCACTAAGCCCACCAAAGGAAAAATGTTGCCATGGAATCTGTTCCATCACAGTACTGTACATCCTTTAAGGGAATTAGATCTAAATATTTCTCAACAATCAATCAACCAATGTACAGTTTCAGCCTTAGAGATATTTTAGCCAGGCAATATACAAATCCAACTATATTCTTTTCATAGTAGTCTGTTCCATTCTCATCCAAATCCTAAGATCTGGGCCATAATGCATCCTCCTCCAACTTATCCCAGTTTGATACCCAAGGCATTTTGTGGAGCAGGCAGCATGACTAATACTAAATGTCTGCTAAACTTAGTGCCAATGACAGAAAATACCGTAACTCTCCTTCAACCTGACCTCATAGACTGGTAATTTATATAACAGTGCACTGTTCAGAGTACATTGTGAAAAATTCACAATATACTCAACTGAGTTAGGCAGATGAGTAATTGAAATAAACCGTGTGTGTGTGTGTGCGCGCGCGCGCAAGCGCGCACGCACACACATGCCTTTAAATCAGTCTTGATTCCTACATGACAAGTCTGTGCAGTTTTCTTGGCAACATTTTCAGAAGAGGCACGCCACTGCCTTTTCCCTGGGGCTGAGAGAAAGTGATGGGCCTTGGCTGGCTTACACACCTAAAGCAGGACTAAAACTTCAGTTTCCCCACTCCTAGTCTAGCACCTTAACTACTACACACCAAACTAGTTGTCTGGAGGAAACTTATTTTGAATTAACATTATTTCATAATACAAAAGTACTACGCATATGAGAGTTTTGCTTTTATATGAGGTCTAAACTTCGGAATAAAGGGAATTGTAATTTCTCTTAAAAATTCAAATTAATTTACTAAGTGGAAATTAGGTAGTTCGTGAAAGAGCAGATTAAATTTCTAGTTTTATTCATAAGCAGCATAATTTCTAATTTAAAAAAAAAACCCAAGTTTTACACTCTCTAGAGAATGAGGAAACAGGGTGCCCTCTGGTGCACGATAGACACATTTCCACCTATTTATTGAAAAAGATAAAACCCCACACTGTACAGTGTGTGCTGGCTCTTCAACTGGGGGCAAAATGAAACCAATTTCTTCCAAGACAAAAGGTGAAAATTTGAAGGGAAACAAAAAGCAAACAGAAACCTCCTAGGGGTATGTTTTCTGCTTTGAAATTTTGAATTGTTTTTTTAATGACTGAAAATTTAACAGATGAGGATTTTTCAAAATATAAGCTTGTAAAGACAATGGTAATTCCTATCTGCAATGAATATCCTATATATTCAAAGTGTAATTCTGTACTTCCAGAGAATGCGACTGTCATAATGAGAGAAGCAAATGGGACCTATTCTAAATCAAGAAAACAGAAGTCCTGAAGTCTCATTTAACACAGGGAATGTGGCTTCCCACAAGTTGATCTGTAACACTCACCAGTCCTCATGCTCCTTAAGCCTGATGAGAGATGGAACTGGGCCACATATTGTCCCTACTCGATCTAGCTGATAGAACGTAACAGTCTTTGGGACACAATAAAGGGGAATTGTCAGTCCTTCAATATAGAAAAGACTAGGAAACTAATGTCATGTAGGCCAATATTGCTTTTAGTGTAAAGTTATAGTAACAGAATCTTATAAGACTGAATGCACCTGCCTCCTTCCCTTTATCTTTGTGTGAATAGGGAGGGGCTTCTCTGAGATATTTGCGTCCAGACTCAGGCTCCTTTTATCTCACTGTTACCTTGGCAGCAGCTCTTCCTCCTATTCCTCAAGGCCATTCCCTCTGCCCTCTACATGAATCAACACAGGTAATTAAGATGAAGGATGCAAAAAATGACGAATGTGCTATTTCCTTGTTTTGCAACTATGACAGAAACTACTGAAATACCAGCCAAAATCCAAGAGAAGCATGTTATAATATACCAGGAGTTAAAAGCTGCAAATTACTTGTTAATAAATTATTTAATTCATGCAAGGAATTCAAGGGGACCAAGGAGTCATTTATATAGTACAAACATTTTTCATGTTTTCCATGCCTGTTTCTTTCAGCAGTTGAAAATACTGTATTTGCAGATTTTAGCATGGACAGGGAGTCATACTGGATACAGATAAACTAGTTCTCAGAAAAACAATTACCATAGGAAGTGCTGCAAGTCTAAATGATCAGTATAGGGTTAACAGCACTGATGGAGGCAAACTCATGCTACTGAACCACAATGATTAAAAAATATCTTTTTCTACAAAGTATTAATTTTGTTTCCTGGTATCAAATGGGGTGAGATCCTGTTTAAGGCCACACAAGGCTTTGCACAGCAAAGTGGGAAGGACTATCTATGTACTGCCCACAGCAAAGTGGGCAGTACATAGATAGGAAGAGGAATTAGATAATTTGACCAGGTGAAATTGGCACGTGTGCACATTAGCCCCCTACCCTTCCCTCCAAAGTTGAGAAAAAAGGCCTGAAAACTTTGTCCCTACATATCCAGGAGCACCCTGAGGGCCGCCAAGAGATGCTGGCAGGTTCCATGTAGCCCCTGGGCCATGCTTTCCCAGCTCCACCCAAGAGAGAAGGGAAACGGATTGGGAGTCTCTCCATGAACTCTTGTCAAGAGCTGCTAGGACTCAAATTATGGATTCAAGAAATGCATCAAAGCAAAGCAAAACAAAGCTCTGGCAAGTTCCCACTCTCCTAGCTAAAATAAATAAAAATAAAATAATAAAATAATAAATGATAAAAAAAATAAAAGCTTGCTTTGGCAAGCCCTCATTCTCCTTGCCTTCCCAAAGGCCTTAAAACAGCAGTTCTTCTCTTAAACACTGGGATAAGGTGATACTGGAGCTCAGTAATTGCATTTGCAATTGCTGATGGGTTAGGGAACATTGATTAGTGTGCTGGGATTTGTTTCTGGATGTTGGTTTTATTACAGTTTTGTGAACAACCCAGAGTTGTGATGCATAAGCACATAAACAAATAAAATAACTCATGTTATGAAATTTATACATTTTGCATACTCATGTTACCTGAGTCTCCCTAACTTAAGAGTGTTGAACTTTTTCATAAATGCAACACTAACCAGTGACACACTTACATGGATCCCACAGATAATAATGCTTGCAGAGCAATTTATGCTGTTTTGCTCTTGCACACTTCTTTGTCCACTGTTCCTTTTTGCCCACTGTAAAGAGACTGAAATTAACACTTTCAATTCAATTGCCCAGATTGCAGGTGTTTTTCAGGAAGCTTAAGACGTAGCATCAAAACATATTTCAAATTGTGGCATGTTCTTGTTAACCAAAAACAGGGGAGTGGCATACTTTTGAAGTGGAGGTCTGAACTGAACCACTGGGTTAAAAATTGTTTCTCCGTATAAATTTAAAAAAATGTTCAGGTCAATTAGGTATTAATTAATTAGCTATTAAAATGTATTTTTTTTATTATGGACTTCATACATCACACCATCTCAGAAATCTGAAACACCAGAATCTCAAATCTGGCTACATTCTAAAGAAACATCCCTTCTGACTCCATGTCCTTGTTTATATCCATAAGGTTTAACATTTTTACCATTATTTCCCATTTTTACCTTATCAAAACAGGGCTTTACCCAGTATTGACCAAGCCTTTCTTCTGGGAAGCTCTATGACAATCACTGTCTTTAATTCAGGCAAAGACAATATTCTTGAATGAGTTTTTTTTTAACTGTAAAATATTTCATAATTGTGTGCAATACGTTTCAAACTTAAAAAGCTCTTTTTCATGTCCAAAATAGCTCTCCCAAACCACACCAGAAGTAGTTCAAGCTCAAAACAGCCACATTTTTAAGTTTAGAACACTCCTAGATAGGACAGCATCATTTCAGTATAACTGAATGATCTGTTTGGGCTCAAAACATGTGTTTCAAATTTATTTATTGGGCTTATAGGCCATTACAATCAACTAAGTACTGTAAAACTCAAGTCCACAATCTAAGTTGAAATACATAATAATGATTAAAACCAAAACCATACATGATAAATCAACCATATATATGCTAGGAATCAAAAATTCCAAAGCCACAATTAAAAGTAATTAATCATTAAGCTGATTTGTTCTTCTATAATACTTTTAGTAATTATATCTAGATCCATAATCCATATTTTATTTCTTTTGCTTTTTTTCAGTGTCTAACTTTCACAGCTGTATTTTAAATCAATATTTTAACTATTCCTTGTTGTTACTGAAATATTTCTATTTTTTATGGCTTTGTCTCAGTTTATCATTGTCTTCTGTTCTAACCTTCATTCCTGCAAGGCAAAGCACAGTTCTTTCTATGAAAGGCAGAATTAAAAATTAAAGATTTATCTTTATAAACTAGGATCAGGTATATGCCACCATGGCGGCACATGAAGACAATCAATTAAAACTAAGACTACAATTCCCAGCATTCCTTGGGGCAGGGCCATGGAGATACTCTGTAGGTGTCTTGGGGAGGCAGGCTTTTATTGCAACATGAGATTGTCTGTACAGAGTGGCAGGGCGCTGCTGTGTTGTTATTTGTGCTTCACACAAGTTTACAATGGGAGTAAACCTAGCTTTTGCTGCAGGCAACTGACCAGAAATGACAGCCAGGTTATCTTCCAGCTTGGAGTAAAAAGCATGTGCTGGAAGAAAGGCAGTCTGATTATATGTAGGAAGAGGCAGAGAATGAGCATTTCCAAGCTAGTCCTAGAAGGAAAAATATCTGTGTTCCTCACCTCATCATGGATCTGATTTTTGATAGTAGGAGTTGTGTACATAGGAGACTGAGTTA